CCTAGACCCTCCTAATTTCTATCCAAGCACAGCCAAGGCCCCATATCCACATAAAGTTTTCCTTAATTCCCAGTTAGCTCTCTCATCCTCTTAAAATTACTGTGAACATAGCTTGTATTGACTCATCTGCATATGATGTAGCCTGTCAGGAGAATGCAAGGTCCTTGAGGGCAGGGACTGTTTGATGTTTGTATTTTTATCCCCTACATCTCTCGCAGAGTAGGCACTTAGCTACTGTTCAGTTACATTTGCAGCTCCCCTCAGTGACCAGCTATAGACAATACTTTAGAAATATTTGCAGAATGAATGAGGAGGCAGAAGCAGGGCAAGAGAATTGGGAAGAGGAAAAAGGAATGAATAGGATTGGTCAGTTAATAAACTTTTATTTTAAGTGCCTATTATGTGCTAGGCACTATACTAAACACTATGGATAAAAGCGTTACAAAAATGTGCATACCCTTTGATCCAGCAATAGCACTTCTAGGGCTATATCCCAAAGAGATCAAACAAATGGGAAAAGGACCCACATGTACAAAAATATTCATAGCAGCTCTTTTTGTGGTGGCAAAGAATTAGAAATTGAGAGGATGCCCATCCATTGGGGATGGCTGAGCAAGTTGTGGTATATGAATGTAATGGAATACTATTGTGCTATAAGAAATGATGAACAGGCTGACTTCAGAAAAACCTAGAAAGACCTATATGGTCTGATGCTGAGTGAAGTGAGCAGAACCAAGAGGACTTTGTACACAATAACAGCTATGTTATGCAATGACTAATATTGTTAAAATGAACCCTTCTCAGCATTACAAGGTTCTAAGACATCTCCACAGGCCTCAGGATGGAAAATGCTGTCCACATCCAAAGAAAGAACTATGGAAGTTGAATCACTATCACTTATTTTTACCTTCTGTTGAGTTTTGTTTCTTCTTTCTGATGGTTCCTCCTATTGGTTTTAATTTTTACTTACAACTTCACTAATGTGAAAATATGTTTAATAGGAATGTAAATGTAAAAACTATATTAGATTGTGTGCCGTCTTGAGGAGGGTGGGGGGGAGGGAGGGGGAGAAAAATTTTCAGTTCAAAAGCATGTGGAAGTGATTGTTGATAAATCAATAAATTAATAAAATTGGGGGAAAAATTTAAAAAAATAAACACTATGGATACAAAGAAATGCAAAAGACAGTCCCTGCCCTTAAAGAGCTCACAATCTAAAGGGAGAGACAAGCAAACTATTATGTACAAGCAAGCTACATACAGGATAATAGAGGTCATCCAGTCCTAGCAGTGTCAAACTCAAATAGAAACAGATCCCTACGAGTCCCATAATGACTTAGAAAAGCACAAATTAACATTATCTATGTTTTATTGTTTGTTTTTTGGTAAACATTTCCCAATTACATTTTAATCTCTAGGCCACACTTGTTGAATTTGACACCTCTGACCTAGTACAACCTCCACGTCATACAAATGAGGAAACTGAGACCCAGAGGGGTGAAGTGGCTCGTACAAAATCCCCTGGGTGGTAAATGGCAGTGGGAACTCAAAGCCAGGTCTTCTGAAACCAAAGACTGAGCTCTTTCCAACTGTCCTCATGCTAGCTCTTTTTTTTTTATTCGCTCAAATGACTGACAAGTCCCTTGCAAATCTTTTATCTTTTTATATGCTCTGGCTATCACAAAGCACGTTTAAAGCCTCAGAGGAGTCTCTGCAGGCAGTTGTGGTTTTTTCAGATCAGGAAAACAGTAAGGGGGAGGGGTGGGGCACATTATACAGATAAATTAGTTTTCTTGAGTATTTTCCCCTCAAAATTGTGGTTGTGGGCAGGCAGAAATGGGCATCACTATGGCACAGAGTGTTCCATCTTCCCATGGACAATCAGCTGCCCCTCCCTTATCAGGGATGAGGAGGGTCACATTTACTGGTATCAGCAGAAAATGCAAGAGAGAACTAGATTCACCAAGCAAAGTTTAATTCTGACACATAACAAAGGATGATTAGAACCAAACAGTACTCTGAAATCCACCATCCAGTTTGAGAACTACTCATACACGGTTTTGCCTTAGTTCCTAAAAAAAATTTGTTTTTAATGGTTCCCTTGGGCACAAATGTTAAGTGATAGTTCAATTCCCTTATCCTTAACTCCAAGAGCTCCAGTAATTCTCCACTTAAAGGTGTTTTCAGTAAGGTCTCATCTGCTTCTGGGTCTGTTTCGGTTGCATCCCTTCTCTGCACGCTTTGATTTATAGTTACAGTTCGTGGTTATGAAGACATGCTCTATAGGCATCTATCCGTCCAACCATTCATTGTTAAGCCTTCTTTCCTTTCTTTTTCTTGCCAGCACCAGGCCAGCGGAAGCCACGTAATTGTAGGCAGTCAGCGGCATTGTGGGCGATGTAATACAGGTTCAGCATGGCAGCTGGATGAAGGATGTCCACTTCAGGCTTTTTTGCTTTCTTCCCACCCTGGCCCTTCCCCCGGCCTTTTCCCTTTTTGCCTTTACCTGGCTTTTAAAGAAAAGAATGAACATAGGGTGAACAATCATATTCTGGAGAATAGAAGTTGCATCATAGTCCAACATTTCTATTGAAATTGGGGGAGAAAGGAAGTTTTATTGAGGAAGAAACTTGTGGCATGGGTGGGGGTGGGGCGAGGAAGGGTGAATTAATGAATTAACAAGAAAAGGGGAAAAATGGAATAAAGCAAACCAATGATCTATTTCCACCTTTAGCTCTGTTCATATGTTATTTTAGAGGTGTGTTGTAGTAAAGAAGGCACTGGGTTTGGAGTCTAAATTTGATTTGAATTCCAGCTTTGGTTAAATTACTTAACAGCTGTATGACCTTGGGCAAATCACTGAACTTTTTTGGACCTGAGTTTCCTTTTTAGAAAAAAAATTAAATGAATAAATCGACAAACACTTATTAAGTGTTTATATGTGTCAAGCAGGGTGCTAGGTTCTGGAGACACAAAGATACATAAAAGCAGAGTCTGGCCTTGAGAAGCTCAAATTCTCTTGAGGGGAGACAATTAAACAACTACTCACGTACAAGTTGCATAGAATGTAAAAGGTGGTAATGGCAGAAAGAAGGTGATAGCAGTCAGGGTGGGGAGAAGCCAGAAAGGCTTCTGGGAGAAGATGGGAATTTGAACTGAGTCTTTAGGTAATGGAGGTGGTGAAGATGAGGAGAGAAAGACTGAGATAAGCCTTTAAGGAATTGAGAAGGAGGAAGTAGAGACAGCATTCCAGATATGGGGAAAGCCAGCAAAAAGGCAGAGATGGGAGATTGTGTTGAGTTCAAAGATCAGCAATGAGGCCATAGGGTATCTGGATGGTAGCCTATGTGGAGAGGAACACAGTGTGAGAAGACTGGAAAGGCAGGAAGGGGCCAGGTTGTGAAGGGCTTTAAAAGAGAAACAGAAGGTTTTATATTTGATCCTGTAGGTAATGGGGAGCCACTGGAGTTTATTCAATGGGGAGAGTAACATGGTCAGACCTGCACTTTAAGAAAATTACTTTTAGTAGCTAAATTTGAATTTTGTAAAAAAAAATTGAATTTAATAAACATCAAATAAAATTAGCATTTCCACATATATTTCCTACTGTAAAATAGGAGAGGATGAGATATAAAATTATGAATCTATGTAGAGCTTGCTTTTCTTTTTAAATATGTAATAAATTCAACATTTAACTTTTAATACTGACCTGCTTGTCTGTGATTTCTTCTGGCCATCCTTCTTTCTTTTTTTTAAGCATCCCTATTGCTATCCCTCCTCTTATTCCCACTCTCCCCCCAAAATGGAGGAGTAAACTCCATTAAAACCCTTTTAACAAATATGCACAATCAAAAAACAAATTCCCAAATTGTGTGCTTCAGTGGCACTATCTGAAAATTTTGTTAATTGGAAAGATGATCTTTAAGATCTTTTCTAGATCTAAATCACAGTGCCTGGTACACAGTAGGTACTCAAGAAATACTTATTGACTGATTCTAAATTTTATATATATATATATATATATATATATATATGAAGAGATAGATAGATAGATGTATGCATTTTGTGTTATTGTTGTTCAGTTGTGCCCAACTCTTCATAACCCCATTTGAGATATTCTTGGCAAAAAATATCGGAGTGGTTTACCATTTCCTTCTCCAGTTCATTGTACAGATGAAGAAACTGAGGCAACAGGGTTAAGTGACTTGCCCAGGTTTACACAGCTAGTAAGCATCTGAGACCAGATTTGAACTCAGGAAGATGAGTCTTCCTGATTCCAGGCCCAGGGCTCTATCCACTGCACCACCTAGTTGTATATAGGCACGCAAGAATGTAATTCTGGCAACGTTTGTGCTATCTTCCATCCAAACTATTATTTTCTAAATTGCTCCCTCCAGTTCATTGGTGGTCCTGTAAACGTTTCTGTGACCCTGACCATCCCCCATGCTCTTTCCCTAGCTTTGTGAAGTTCTCCTTTCCTAGCTCTACATCTCTCACAGAATATCACGTCAATCACTTAATAGTACATGATAGAGAAGAGTTTTTTAAAAGTCAAGAGCAATCTTAAGGAATAACGCAATTTCGACTTGTTTAGTTTTAACCTAGGATTTAGTCTAGGCACAGAGACATAAGAACTTTAAATGCAGACATTCAGATTGATACACAGATAAATAAGTTACTATTATAGTTAGAAGGAGGTAAATTCACATATTAAAGAATTAAATCAATCAGCTAGCTTTTATTGAGCACCTACTATGTGCTTGGAACAGCATGGGCACTGAAGTTATAAAAACAAAAGCAACATCGTCTGTGCCTTCAAGGAGCCAAAGTTCTTTTGAGAACTAACAATGAAAAGCAAAATTAGGCATGATTTAGCAATCTATGTAAGCATTCAGAAGGATGTTTGCTTTTAACTATCTCCTAGAATGAAAATTTTGAAAATGTCACACAAAGAGACCTCCCTCCCCAATCACCTGCTTTTCTGGAATCATAAACCAAGATCAAAACAATTCTCCACTGTTCCTGGATGGGATGTGTCAATCTACTGCTTTTTAGCCCCTTTAATTTCCAGACCAAGTGTTCCTTCCTGGCCACCACTCCTCTTGGTATATTATGGAGATAACACTGTAATATAAGTTCTTTCATGGTGGTGGAATGGTTCTATTCTGAAAAACATAACCAATTATTTTAAATAAGGAGATAAAAGGGAAGGTAAAAGGAATATACCAGTGTAGAAAAGAGGAAGAAGGAGGCAGAACTTATTATTTCTCATAATTGGGGTATGTGAAGAAGAATTTACAAACAGGGAGAACAGGCATCAGACGAACCTTACTTATCTGAGCCGGACACAGGAGAGCTGAACATATGTCCAGCATGTGTGTGCAGGCACCCACATGTAAATTGCAGAAAGATGCACCAAATTTAACCAGCAAACAAGTGAGGATGGGGGGAAGAGGCAAGAGAGAGAATAACTGGGAGAGAAATAGTTGCAAACAAAACAAATTTCTTTCTTTAAAACAAAAAAAGTCTTTGTGAAACATGACAAAATTCCACAGCAAAGAAAACAGGGACAAGGAATTTAAATTCAGCATTTTTGATTTACCAAACAGAATAGTGCAGGGTACCCTTGGGGGAAATAGCTTCCAGAAACCAATTACTCAATCCTGTCAAATGTGAACAAAATCCAATTTCTTAATTAAACAAAAAGACATTTCCACTCTTAGTCTGAACACCATAAACAAGATATATTTCAATTATCTTAGTTTCAGGTAATTAAAATCCTTACCCAACACTGAAATTGATTAGTTCTTTAATTCAAGGAAGACTGATTTGGTCTTTGATTAAAATGAGACCAATAACTTCAGACTAGGACACTATCATATTTGTGTGTGTATGTGTGCGTGTGTATAAATTTTTTTTTAACACAACTGAGGCTTTAACACTCTATTTATTCTTTTAAACGGGTTTGACCATGTCACTATTCTGCTCAAAAAACCTCAGTGGCTCACTCTTGCCACTAGGACAGAATACTAACTTTTCTGTTTGTTTGTTCGTTTTTCCAGTGAGGCAATGGGGTTAAGTGACTTGCCTAGGGTCACACAGCTGGTAAGTACCATGTGTCTGAGATCAAATTTGAACGCAGGTCCTCCCAACTCCAGGGCCAGTACTTGATCCACTGCACGACCTAGCTGCCCCATTTCTGTTTGGTTTTTAAAGCCCTTCAAAAGTTCTCTTTCCAGGCTTCCAGCACATTACTTTTGTTCAAAAATTGCACATTGCAGTCAAACTGTTCTACTTATTCTTTATAGATGACATTCAATCTCCCAGCTCCACGCTTTTGCATAGACTGTCCCCCATGACTGAAATCTCCTGATCTCTCCCTTCATAGACTACCTATCTTTCTTCAGAGCTCAGCTCAAGGGCCAACCCCAACAGGAAGCCCATTCTCCTCAGTTGCTAGTACCCTCCCCCAAGAAATTGTTTTGTGCATGTTTAGTATTTAATTTTCTATATACTTCTTATTTTTCAGTCATTCAGTTGTATCCAACTCTTTGTGACCCCACGGACCATATTGCACCGATACTGGTCATGGTTGGGGGTTTTTTTTGGCAAAGATACAAGAATGATTTTCCATTTTCTTCTCCAGTGGATTAAGGCAAATAGAGGTTAAGTGGCTTGCCCAGGGTGACACAGCTAGTAAGTGTCTGAGGTCAGATTTGAACTCAGGTCTTCCTGACTTCAGGCCCAGCACTCTGAGCCACCTAGCTGCCTCTATATTCATGTAATTTCCTCTCAATAAACAGGCAAGTTAACCTAGCTGAAGCAGCAGGGAACCCAAAGGGAGAGAGAAGAAACAGCATATATCAGGCAAGTCAAACCATTACTGCCACCATCTTGACCATCTTCTCCCTGACAGACTCAATGGAGAAAGCCTAGGATCTTGAATCCATGAGCCTTGGGAATGGCAATGATTTCTGCCCTGTGCCCAAAGCCATCATTCTATGGTGCTATAGCCTGGCAAATTACTCTAGTACATGCTACAGCTACAGCGACTGAAGACCCAGAAAATAAAGGTTTTGCTACAAAAGGTCCTGGCACTGTCAATGGCTCAATATCAAAACTCATATGATTTTATCAGTGGAAATCACATAAAAGAGGCATTACCATCTATTTTGATGTTATACCCTGAAGATCATGGGATCTTTCCATCTGACTTAAAGCTCAAACCTTCCATGTGTGTGGTCTCCCCTATTAGATTGGGAGCTCTTGGAGAGCAGTGACTAGCTTATTCTTCTACATGTACCTCAAAACTTAGCATGGCACTTGGTACATAGCAAGCCCTAGATAAGCGGTAGCTAGGTTTCACAGTGGCTAGAGCACTGAGATTGGAGTCAGGAAAACTCATGTTTCTGGGTTCATATCCGGCCTCTGACACTCCGGGCGAGTCACTTAATCCTGTTTACCTCAGTTCCCTCATCTGTAAAATGAGCTGAAGAAGGAAATGGAAAACTGCTTCAGTACCTTTGCCAAAAAAAAAAACCAAAATGGGGTGAGGAAGAGTTGGAAATGACTGAACAACAGCTACTCTTGTATATAACCTAGTTATTTTAATGTTTGTCTCCTCCTTTAGAATGAGACCTCCTTGAGAGTAAGGATTCTTTTTATCTTTCTGAGTTTAACACAATGCCTCATGAATAAGAAATGCTTTTTTTTTTTGGTGAGGCAATTGGGGTTAAGTGACTTACCCAGAGTCACACAGCTTGTGAGTATCATGTGTGTGAGGCCAGATTTGAACTCAAGTCCTCCTGACTCCAGGGCCAGTGCTCTATCCACTGTGCCACCTAGCTGCCCTAGCAATGCTTAATAAAAGCTTGTTGACTGTCTTATGCAAACTCCTTGAGATCAGGAGCTATTTTGTTTTTAAAAGTCTTTGCATCCCTATTGTCTGACACATAGTAGACATTTTAATAAATGCTTGTTGACTTGAATGTTTGTTGAACATATATAGCATTTAAGGTCTGCAAAATGCTTTGCCTATCTCATTTGATATTAACAGGATCACTTGTGAGATATATTTACCTAAAATAAGTAGGTTTCATACTAGCAAAGATCTCGAAATTAATGGTGTACCCTTTGGGAAATGGCCAAAGAAATTCTGGCATGTGATTGTCATGGAACAATATTGCACTGTAAGAAATGACAAAAGGGATGTGTTCAGTGAAACCTGGGAAGACTTACATGAACTGACACAGAGTAAAGAAAGCAGAACCAAGAGAACCATGTATACAAAAACAACTGGCAAGACAAACAAGAACTCAGATCAATACAATAACAAATGCTATCCACATCCTGACAGAGAGGTGAGGTTGGACTCGATATGCAAAATGACACATAGATTTTTGGACATGACAATGTGGGAATTTGCTTTGCTTGACTAGGCACATCTGTTACAAGGATTTTGTTTTTCTTAAAAAAAAAATCAGAGGTTTACATGCTTGCACATGTATGGACTATATCAGATTGCTTACCATCTCAGGAAGGGAGAAGGGAAAGGAGGCAAGGATAGAATTTGGAAATCAAAACTTTTTAAAAAAATGTTAAAAATTGTTTTTCCACATAATTGGGGAATTTTTTTTTAAACCAGAGGTATGGGTGAGAAAGAGGAAATAAATACTCATAATTTTTTAAAAAGTAAGATAAAAGTTGCATAAAAAGTGGCTGATTCATTGTACTTAGTATTAGAAATACACTAAGCTAAATAAGTAGTGTTTTCAATTGCATAAAATGAAATTAGGAACAGTAGTTTGGTTATAAAGTAAATATGTTATTAGAATATGACATTTTAAAAGGGAGTTATACTACTAGTCATAACACATGGCTAAAAAAAAAGGATAAAAATGTTTGCTCAATAGCTTAATTATGCTCCCTCACAATACAACCTAATGGCTACCATCCTTTGTGGAAAAAAAGTTTTTAAAAGAAATTTTCAAAAAATGAGAGACCACAGGAGGATTCTGAGTTTATGCAATCCTTCTGGGGAAGACTAGAACATGAGGGGAACAGGAAAGCACAGTGGTGGACAAAGGGTTACTATCCTGGCCCATCTAATTTTGAAAATTCTGGTTATTTTTCCAACTTTCCACTTTTCAGTGTTCATACATGGCATTAAATGTTCAAAGTCTGAAACTGTACTTTTTTTTTTAAAGCTCTTTTGATAAGTACTCTGAAGGAGAGAAACAGGTGGCTGACATAAGAACACACCACTGTCTTAGCCAAGATTAACTCAAAAACAGAAGCCCATCCAGGATACTGCTTTTAAGGTTCCGCACAATGTTCCTGTCTTTTACAAACACAGATGCTTTTTCTTTAAAACATCTTTAAGACAGTTACTCTAAAGGAGAAAGATGATTCAAAAGTCTGGGCCCCATCTACTTCCTGTGTCACTACAAGGGAGCTCTGGGGCCCTTTGTCTCCCATGAACAAAATGCAGATTGAATGCAGGATGAGGATTCTGAAACCAAAGTGACATCCTGAATTACATTGATTGATTTGCTCAAGAAGCATGGGTTTAAATCACTCTTATTCTGTTTCCTCACAGACAAAAATGGAAAGGGCAATTATTATTCATCACATAAAGGGAGCACAAGGGTGAATGATGGCCAAACGCACTTGAGATCCCTACATTAAAAGCTCTGTGAAAATCCATGTATCCAGGGCCAGCTAGCTAGGTGGTGCAGTGGATAGAGCACCAGCCCTGGAATCAGGGGGACCTGGGTTAAAATCCAACCTTAGACACTAGCTGTGTGACCCTAGGCAAGTCACTTAACCCTCTTTGCTTCCAAAAAAAAGATAAACCTAATCCATCATTTCTCTACAAAAAGGTTGTTTTCAACAGCTACAAATATTTATTGAGCAGCTACTGTGTGTAGGGCACTGAGGTCAGCTAATGATGATGTAAGACGCTGGAAATACTAGCTGAAGAAACTTGTACCATAGTTGTGGAGACAGGGTACACACACACACACACACACAATCTTATTACACTTCTGTGTGTTTTTGTGTGTGCACTCGAGCTTGAGCATGTGTTCATACCAGCTGAAGGGGAAAACCAATTGCCTACAGTTAGTCTCCACAGCTGCTACAGCATAAATTTCCCACACTATTCTTTTTTTTTTTTTGCAAGGCAATTGGGGTTAAATGACTTGCCCAGGGTCACACAGCTAGTATCATGTATCTGAGGCTGGATTTGAACTCAGGTCCTCCTAACTTCAGGGCTGGTGCTCTATCCACTGTGCTACCTAGCTGCTCCTCGCACACTATTCTTGAGGCAGCCTAGCATTACAGGCTCACCTGTAAAATCAGGACATCAGATAAATGATCTCCAAGATCCCTTCTAAACCACGTCTGAATCCTATGATCCTATTATACTTCTGTAGTCAGCCCTACTTGCTGCAGGACTGGGAGATTCATTATTTGCATGCAATTGGGTCCTTTCCCTCCCTTATTTACTTTCTCACTTACTTGGCTGAGTTTGTAAAATGGGGCCATCATGTTCAATGAACTCACCACTTTTGCTAGAGTGTTCAAGACAGATAGTGGCTGTTTTGGAAAAACAATTTGGAATTATTCAAGAAACATAGATGAAGTTATTGACGCCAATCATTGTGATCCCAATTACTGGGTTTATATTGCAGAGTGGGGGAGGGATGGTAAATGCCAGCAAGGAAGTATCTATTTGTACAAAAAGATGCACGGCTAAACCATTTATAATTGCAAACAAGTGAAAACAAAAGTGCATGTCCAGTGGCTGGGATATGGCTGAACACATTACATTGTATGAATGTAGGGATAGGGATAATAGAGACTGTACCTGTGAATTTATTGACTTCAGAAACTTTCTGGCTGATGCCAGGATGGTATCTCTTGAGCAGAGAAGAAAAAATTCTTTTGCTTCACTTCCCTCCCAAATTTTTTTGCTCAAGCCAGCTGAAGGAGAAAACCACTTACCTAAAAGCTAATAGTCTCCACAGCTACGGCTTAAGGCAAATTTCCCATACTGTTCTTAAAGTAGCATACAAAAATTAATAGCTGTGTGACCTTGAACAGTTATTCACTTTACCTGTCACGGTCTCAGTTGTAAAATGAGGCAGTTGGGATTAGATGATCTCCAAGGTCCCTTCCAGACCATGTCTACATCCAAATAATTGATCTATGAAACTAATATAATCAGCCTGAATAGCTGAGAATCATTTTCCCTCCAGTGTGACCTGCTCATCCCACATCTACTTTAGTTGGCTGACTTTTGGTGGTCATGCTCTCAGGTGACATCCTTTAAGGGGCTCTCTACCTTTAAGGGGGAAGGAAGAGAACACACGATCATAGATGCTGAACTGGAAGGCATCTCAAAGGTCTTCAAACCCCTAACAGCCTGGAACTCTCTCTATAATACCCAAGATAAACAATTATATACCTTCCTCTTAAAGACCTCTAGTGACAGGGAACTTAATACTTTATGCAGCAGCCTATTGCATTGTTGGATAGATCTCATAATTAGAAAATCTTATTTAATGTTCAATACTTATTTTCCTCTGTGACCTCTAGCCACTGGACCCAGTTTTGTTCCCAAAGGTCATGTTCTATTTTGTCATCAATTTTTATATTATTTCCCACTCATCTGTTAGCTCATAGACACTCAGTGTGTCCTAAAAGTCTTAGTGCAGTTTAAAGTTTTGGTAGCTTAAAATAAAAATAAAATAGAAAGCTTTACTCTTTACTAGTTTAAAAAACTGCATCAAGACTTTTGGGATACCCTGTTATCTTGCCCGAAGGCACTGAAAAATAAAAGATATGAAGACAAAGCTTGATGGCCTATTTCCTGTTTCTTGAACGGGATATTCCATCTCCTGACTTTGCACTGGCTGTCTCCTGTGCCTAGAGTGCTCTGCCCCTTCCTCTCTGCTTTGTACTTTCTATTTCTTCAAAATTCAGCTCAAATTCTATCTTCTGCAGGAGGGTTTTCTCAGTATCCCCAGTTGCTAGTGCCTTCCCTTCTCACATGACCTTCCATCTACTGTAGAGATCTTGTATGTTCTTGCTTATTTACATATTGTCTCCTCCATTAGAATGTAAGTTCTGTGAGGGCAGACACTGTTTTTGCTTTTCTTTGCATCCCCAGCACTTAGTACAGTTACTGGCACATACGAAGGGCTTAATAAATATTTGTTGACTTGACTGCCTAGGGCAGTGCCCTATTGCTGCCTTCATCTTTCATGATCCTACAGTCAGTCCCTTGATGATTATGAATGAATAAGATTATGAATGAATGACACCAATTTTGGATGCACTTCAATTCTAATCTAATCTTCTCTAATTCAGAATGCAAACAAGCAAGTAGACAAAAACCAGAAGGAAAGAATGGTGACTATGGACAACATGATTACAAAACTGGTCAATTTTAAGTGAAACTATTGCTCTAGATTCAGAATAGCAATAAACCAGTTTTACAAGAGCCTCAGAATTTCTTAACTAAGAACATGAATGATACATAATAGAACGATAGTGTACGTTTGCATAGCACTTCGTGCTTTACCTAGTAGTCCGAGGACTAGTATCCATTCACCATATCACAGACGGGGAAACTGAGGCTCTGAGAGAAAAAGCAGCTTGCCTAGGGTCACACAGCTAAAAAAATTGCCAAAGGTGGGAACTGCACCCAGACCTCTGGACTCCAAATCCAGAGCTCTATCCCATTTGGTACACTGCTTGTCTAAACTTTAATTAGTAAGTTTATTACCATGACAAAGCCTTGCTTTCCGATGAACTGGTGGTCACGGGGTCAGTTCATAATTCTGAAATACAGAGATCATAAAATGTGGTTACAGACCAAGGTTTTTCACATTGCTGCCTACCGGAATTCGAGTTTCCTCATCACCTAGGGAAAGGGAAAAAGCACAAAACATTCAGTGGTTAGGAATATGAGCCAATCCCTGCTAGCATCTATAAATCCATGACCTGTAAGCTCCACCACCAAAACAAAATACCCTTGAAGAACCGGATGCCTTCCCATAGAAATCCAGGACAATCATTATGCCTTTCTGTTCTTGTTCGCGCTTCTAAAACGGGTTATCACCACCTTCTGGCAAACAAAAGAACAGAAACACAACTAAGCAGCTTCAATCCAGGGACAAAGGAGGGTGGCGATAAATAAGGACAGCAGGTGAAAAGTGCAAAAATCCCCCCATTCCCAACAGAGCCTTCACCAAGCCACCGCACGTCCAGCGCTGCAATGGAAACAACTCTGCTCCTGAGAAGTTAACAACTGCATTTGTCTTCCTGGCTAGCTCGTTCAGGAAAGACGATGATCCTTGCAAGGGCGGGTCGACTCACCATCCTCACCTGCTCACAGCCCCTGCAGCCTATGCCAAAGTCACGCGCGCGCGCAAACAAATGTCCATTCTGCCTCCTTCCCCTTGGTGGGCGGAGCCTGCGCAGTGTTTATTCTGTTACTAGGAGCAAAGGGGCGGACGGTATGGGGGAGGGGGGAGGGGAGAAGGGAGGCGGGTTGAAGAGGCAGAAGAGAAAGAGGTAGGGGCGAAGTTGGGCGCTCCTTCGCTGATCCTTCTTGCCACCCTAGCTATTCTCTCAATCCGCTTGATATTAGGTGTCTACCAATGGAGAGCGTAGGCTGTCTATCAGCTGTACTTGCCAACAGTGCCGAGGTGATAGCCCACCCCGTATAGAAGGTGCTCCTCACCTCTGCGTCATGTCAGCCCTTCCAGAACCCCCTTGTTAGAGTTCTCTCCCACAAGAAATTCTTTATCTGCGTCCTTGTCGTATTCCATCCCCTACCCCTACTAGAATGGAAACTCCTTGTGGGCAGGAACAACGTTACCAAATCATGTTGATACTTCCTCCCGAAAGTCACTCAAACTGACTTCAGTTTTTCTTCCTTCTCCCCGTCACTCTGCTTGAAACCTCGTTGCCACTTCTGGGGCATCGAGGTGGAACGGTGGATTCAGCTTTCTGGGCTTCAAATTTGGCTGTGTGACTCTCGGCAAGTCTCCTAACCTCAGCCTGACTCAGTTTCCTCAACTGTTAAATGGAGCTGGTAATAACACCTACTTCCCAGGGTTGTCTGGAGGATCAAACGAGATATTTGTAAAGTGCTTAGAGTAATGTCTGGGCAGATGATTAATAAATGCTTGTTTTCTTCCTTCTGTTTATAAATCTTACGTACAAAGGTTCGCTTTAAAGGATTTATCTAAAGATTAAGAAGGTAAGCTATTTGGGTCTTACCTCCCACCTATTGACAATGAGCTAAACCAGATGACTGTTTAAGACTTTGAGACATGGAAGAAGCATCTGAATTAACCTTTGAGACATTTGGGACTGACATAATTTTTAAATTAAATTTTCATCCATGTTTTGTTTTCATATCAAGAAATGATAATAAACATTTATTGGGTACCTAAGATGTGCCAGACACTATGCACCCAAATTTCCCCGTGTATCTCTCCCTCTCCCCCTCCCAAAGAGACTCCTCCATATTTTTATTTTATTCTGTTTCACCCACAACCCAACATTGAGCAATTTTTTTGAAATCTCCCCAAAATAAAGTCCTTAAAACATAGCCGCATAGTCCTATAAAACACATTACCACATTGGTCATGTTACAAAACCTACGACTCTCACTGAATTTTAAGATCATCACCTCTCTGGAAGGAGGTGAGTGGCCTTTTCATTTTCATTATTTTGGACTCTATCTGCCTTAGAGTTCTAAAGTCTTTCAAAGCTGTTTTTCTCTATAATGTTATCATTGTATAACTTGTTCTCCTAGCTTTGCTCACTTTGCTCTGTATCATTTTATAGAGATCTTCCCCGTTTCCTCTAAAACGGTTCATTTCATCAATTAGTAAAGCACAATAATATCCAATTACATTCATACACTAGAATTTATCAGTTCCCCAATTGGGACCCTCCCTCAGTTTCCAATTTTTGACTGCCTGCTATGAATATTTTTGTACATTTAAATCCTTCTCGTTTTCCTTTGATTTCTTTGGGGTATAAGTCTAGTAGTGGCATAGCTGAATCACAGTTTAGTAATTTTAGGGACATAGTTTTAAACGGATTTCTAAATGATTGGACCAATTCAATAGCACCACCATAGCACCAACATTAGTGTACCTGTTTTCCTGTAACTCCTTCAATATTTATAATTTTCTTCTTTTATCATCTTTGGCAGTCTGATGGGTATGAGGTGGAACTTCAGGTTGCTTTAATTTACATTTATCTAATTATTAGTGATTTGAAACATTTTTTTCCCCACATGGTTGTTGATAGCTTGGATTTCTTTCTTTGAAAATGCTTTTCATGCACTTTTACTTTTTAGTTATTGAGGAATGGCTCTCAGTCTTATAGTTTTGAATCCGTTTCTTACCTATCTTGGAAATAAGGCCTCTATGTGGGAAACTTACTGCAATGATTTTTTCTGGTTGTCTGTTTCCTAATTTTGACTATGTTATACTTGTTTTTTTTTTAAAAAAAAAAGCTTTTTAATTTTATAGAATCAAAACAGGCATTTTATCTTATGCCATCCTCTCCATCATCGTTTAGTCATGAACTCTTCCCCTATCCATATACATAAAAGATACTTTCTTCCTTGCTCCTCTAATTTGTTTCTAATGTGGTTTCTCACATCTATATCATATATCCATTTGAAACTTACCAAGGAATGTGGCATAAGATGTTATTCTAAATTAAATTTCTGCCAGACTGCTGTCCAGTTTTCCCATCAGTTTTTTTGTTTGTTTTTTGTTTTTGCCAAATAACGAGCCCTTCCTCCTAGTAACTGGGGCCTTTGGGTTTATCTAACACTACGCTACTGTTTATTTGCTTCTATATTGTGTTTTTAACTTGTTTTGCCGGTCAATCTCTCTCTCTCTCTCTCTCTCTCTCTCTCTCTCTCTCTCTCTCTCTCTCTCTCTCTCCCAATAGTACTGAATTTTTTTAATGAATATGTCATTGTAGTACAATTTGAGATCTGGATCCTCCCTTTCTTCCTACTTTTTTCATTATTACTTTTGAGATTCTTGACCTTTCATTCCTCCATCTGAATTTCATTATTATTTTTTTCATAGTTCTATGAAGTATTTCATTGGTAGTTTGATTGGTTTAGTACTGAATAAGTAAATAAATTTGGGTAGCAATGTTATTTTTATTATATTGGCTTGACCTACTCATGTGCAATTAATGTTTCTTTAATTATTTAGGTCTGTATTTATTTCTGCAAAGAGCATTTTATATTTGGATTCATATAGTTCCTGGTTAAATTGTGGCAGGTACACTGCCAAGTATTTTATAGCTTCTATTTGAATGGAATTTTTCTTTCCAGCTTTTCTTGGAGTTTATTGGTGTATGCACACACACACACACACACACACACACACACACATACATACACACACCCCCCCATTGATTTATGTGGATTGATTTTAAATCCTGTAACTTTGCTACAATTATTGTTTCAATTAATTTTAGTTGACCCTCTACAGTTCTCTAAGTATACTACTATATCTGTAAACAGAAAAACCAATAATTTTGTTTCCTTTTTGCCTCGTTTTATTCACTCAATTTATTTTTCTTGTCTTATTGCTATAGCTAGCATTTCTAGCACTATATCAAAAGTCGTGGTAATAATGGAGATCTTTATTTTATCTAAATCTTATTGGAAAGACTTCTAACTTTTCTCTGTTACTTAGAATGTTTTCTCTTCAAATTTACATAGATATTATTTACTATGTTAAAGAAAGGTCCGTTTATTCTATGATTTCTAGAGTATATATTAGAAACAAGTGTTGGGGTTTTTCAAAAATCTTTTCAGCATCTATTGATATAATCATATAACTTTATTATTTATATTAACATAGTTTATTATATTTATAATCTTCCTTATGTTGAATCAACCTTGCCTTTCTGGTGCAAATCCACAATGTTTAATCTTGTTAATATGTTGCTGTGACCTACTAGCTAATATTTTCTTTAAAATTTTTGCATCAATGTTCGTTAGGGATATTGGCCTATGGTTTTTTTTCTCTGCTTTGTCTCTTGCTGGCTTAGATATCAAGACCATATTTGTATTGTAAAAAGAGATTGAAAGGGTTCCTTCTTTTTTTTTTAAATTGTAAACAGTATATTGTTCTTTAAATGTCTGTTGGAATTCACCTGTAAATCCATCTAGTACTATTTCTCACTGCCCCTCTCCACCCCCGGAGTTCATTTATGGCTTTTTCAGTTTCTTTTTCTAATATTGGGTTATTTGAAAAGTCTATTGTTTCACTTGCCAAGCTGGATATTTTATATTTTTATAAGAGTTCACCCATTTCCTCTAATTTATCAGTTTTATTAGCACGCTATTGAGCAAAGTAGTTTATCATAATATTTTTCTTTATTTCTTCTTCATTGATTATGAATTTATCTTTTCCATTTTTTACAAAGCCTGGTTTTCTTCTCACTTAAAAAAAATCATACTAGCTAGCCATTTGTCTATTTTATTAGTTTTTTTTAAAGCTTCCAGTTTTCTTTATTAATTCAATGGACTTTTGTTATCAACTACATTAATCTCTTCTTTAATTTTGTATAATTTCTACCTTCTTATTTAGCTGGAGGGTTTTGATTTGTTGTTTTTCAATTGCATATCCAATTTATTGATTTCTTCTTTCTCTCTCCCCCTCATAACTACTTTAGCTGTGTCTCATAAGTTTTGGTGTGTTGTTTAATTATTGTCATTTTCTTTGATGAAATTTTCCATTGTTTCCATAATTTGTTCTTTGAGCTAGCAGTTCTTTAGAATTAAGTTCTTTAGAATTATGTTTCTAATTAGTGTTTAATAGAGGCTGGTAGTATTTAAGTATTTAATAGAGTGCTAGTGCTGGAATCAGGAAGACTTGAGTTCAAATGTGACCTGAGACATTTACTAGCTGTGTGACCCTGGGCAAGTCACTTAACTTCTGTTTACCACAGTTTCCTTGCCTATGAAATAGGGATAATAATAGAATCTACCTCCCTGAGTTTGTTGAAAGGATCAAATGAAATATTAATTGTAAAGTGCTTTAACATAGTACTTGGCATGTGGCAAGCACTACATAAATATTAACTATTATTACCATTGTTATTGCTATTATTTTTAATTCTTTCTTTATGGACCCTTTATTGAATATAATTTTTATTGCATTGTGATCAGTAAATGATACACTTAGTATTTCTGCTTTTCTACATTTTTGGTGAAGTTTTTATGCTCCAATACATGGTAGTGTCATATATAGCTGAGAATATATAAATCCCTTTCTGTTGCCATTCAGCAATTACCAGAGCTCTATATCTTTAATTTTTAAAAAAATTTTATTCTATACTATTGTGCTATAAGAAATGATAAACAGGCTGACTTCAGAAAAACCTGGAAAGACATGTATGCTGAGTGAACAGAACCAAGAGAACTTTGTACACAATAACAACCACATTGTGTGATGACTAATATTGATAAACTTTAACCCTTCCCAGCAATACAAGGATCTAAGACATCTCCAAAGGCCTCATGACGGAAAATGCTATCCACATCCAAAGAAAGAATTATGGAATTTGAATGCAGATAGAAACATACCATTGGCTATTTTTTTCCTCATCTGTTGAGTTTTGTTTCTTCTTTCTTATGGTTCCTCCTATTGGTTCTAATTCTTACTTACAGTATC